ACCTGACCTAGCTAGAGACTTTCGGACTCCTGAGCAGAAGCTTTTGTGGACAGTTCTCCCAAATCTCACCTTCCCACTTTTATTTCTTGCGTTTGCCATTTCTGTTCCCTGGTGGACCAAGCCAGCATCAGCCCTGGCTCTAGGTCTACCATTCCCTGGCCACCGGCCTCCCCTTCCTGCCTGGTAACTAAAAAACTCAAAAGAGCCCTGGTGGCTGGCAGTGGCCATGGTGCTCGGCAGACTTTTCTCTGCCACTCAGGAAGGTATTCAGAAGTATTGACAACAAGAACTAAGAAGAGCATGAGGCCATTGTCACCACACTACCTCCCTGTTTTTTTTCCCCCCATGGGACTGGGATTTGAACTGAGGGTTTCATACTTACAAAACTGAAGCCCCACCTCCAGTCCATTTTACTGATTATTTTGGAGATGGGGGTCTCAGGAACTATTTGCCCAGGCTGGCCTTGAACCTGGATCCCCCAGATCTCAGCCTTCCAAAATAGCTGGGATTACAGAGGTGAACCACCGCACCTAGCTCCCATGTAATGTGAAATTTTCTCCAACCCCAATCCTTTCTCTTCACCGTATGCCCTCTTTTCTCTTAGAAGCCCAAACCCAACACTAACCCCACGTCTCCCTCCCACTCCCCAGACCCACATGGCTTAAGGACAAAGGACATCCTTCCCCTCGAAGGCTGAGACAATGGTAACTCACATGCCATACAGTCTGCATCACAGTCCCGTGTAAGTTTAAACAGATCAAGACAGTCCAAGTGCCTCAAAATACTACGCTGAGGCCATTTTATATTATAGACCTTCATTTCTGACTCCAAGGACAGGAAACGGGAGGGGTCTGAATAGGAAGGAGCTTACCTTGGAGTGGTGGCTACATGTAAATACAAGCACTATATAAATGCCTCAAGAAACTTGGTTATTAGGTTCAAAACCAAAACTAAGAGAAAATCAATGAATAGTTAGAAATTCACAGAAATCATTCTTTGAAGAATCAGACAGACGTCTCGAGATCAGGAGCTATCAAATACTTTTTATTCAGACTGTCAGCATGAGGTCTGGGAAGGCCTATGGCACATACCACTTACCTTCCCTATGTGGATGCCTGAAATCTTCCAGTGGAGTCGTCTTATGTGATAAGCTCCCCTCCCCCCAGGGGTCTCAATTCTTGCCAAAAATAAGCAAAATGGGGCTGAGGTGTGGCTCAAATGGTAGAGCAAGAGTCTAGCAACTGAGAACCTGAATTCAGACCCAGAAAAATGTTCACTCCCAAAGAACAGTCTTCCCGGTTTTGAGGAATCTGTGTTCCTGCTTCCAGAAACTACAAAGGCTACGCTGACTGCCCTGAGGTGGGGATGTGAGCTTACTTACTGAACACAGTTCACTGTATTTCTAGGGTGTGTTGTTAACCTCTGGAAAAGTGACATTAAAAAAAGTATCTTCTCGTGTATTTATGGAAAGGATGTGAAGTCTCAGGGATAAAGCTTAAAAACAAAACAAACCGCCAAGCCAGCACAAGAGTTATCTAAAAAGGGAATCTGTAACGCTTTTAGCATGACAGTGGTCAATTTTTAGATGCAGAAACATTAACAGTTCACTCAATCCTCTCAACTGAGGAACGATAATAACTGTCGCAGCACTGACTGCAGGGTGCAGCATTTACTCTGAGTGAAGTGCTTACACTCAGGCGTGCAGCCTTGACTCTGGGCTCCTCTGTAGCTTCTCTCCAACTGCTGGCACTACATGTGGAGGACTGAGCCACCCTCAGAGGCAGTGTTTCTACACCCCACTCTTAGTCCCCATGTCACATTTTTTCCTGCTAGTTCCTGCTAGCTGGATTTTAAACAGAAAGGATTGCTATCACGTGTCACGTGGTGGTTATGTTCCTGTACGCCTGGAGTTGAGACAATCGCTAACTTGAAAACCTCAAAGATTTTTTTCTTTCAGATTTAACAGACACTGACTATGAAAAACGACACGGAAGCACCACAAGTGCTCTGTGTCTCTGTACTCACTTCTAGTGCAGGACAGCACTTCAAGACAAGGAAAATCTTTGCAGTAATCATAGATTTCTGAGGGGCTTTCAAGAGGAAATTGAGGAAAACAGAACATACATCTACATTTATAGACTGACTAGATAGGACACATTACAATTAATTTGTTAAACCAGTAATAATTTATTGACCACGTGTTCAGTATCAGGTACTGAGATACAAAGTCCTTGTTCATGTGGACTTTACAGTCAGTGAAAAAAATCCACGTTTGGTGCATAAACCCCTTGAGAATTTCTTTGGAAAGGGGGAGTAAAGGGAGGTTCACAGAACAGACCACACAGTGTGTTTCAACTCACGTAAGTGGAAAAATAAGTCAGACAACTTACAAGACCACTTTACGGGTTATAGTAGGCTGTAACTCAGTTTATTATGCATAAATTTATAGCATATCATATGTTTTACACCACAGATTCAACGTTAGAAGAATTCAGACATGACAAAGCTTAGAGATGACAGGAACACGCAACAGACAGAATAAGGCAACTTAAATTGAGACGGCATGTGCAATAAAACCAAGCCCCCAACAACGGGACATAAAAACATCTACTGATTTGGTCAGTAACCAGGGAGATTTAAGACAAATGCCATTCAACTGCATCTAAAATGTCAGAGTTTCACTAGTTCAAATGCAAAGTAAATGCAGTGTGTTAAAATAATAAAGCCACCTTTACATCACACATATCCTAACGTCATTAATTATACTTGGGATAAGGAGACTAGGCTGTTGGTGTTAGGTCTAATAAAATGACCTTTTCTTGCTACATTCTATAAACTGACAGGGGCCACTCAGGAACAAGTGGCACATTTCAAAATGGCTCAGTACCTGCAGTAACTACCAAGCTGGCATTTTTGCAGATGAAATTCATACACGTGGTGCCAAACTACCTCAAATTATTTTACAGTATTTGCATATAATTTACAAGTTATGTGAAGATAAGAATGCTGTCTTTAAAAGCTACTGGAGCCTTAAGCACTGCAGCATATGAAAGAAGTTTAGGAACAGAACAAGTAACAACATCCTAGAGTGGAGTTGTATATTTACACGGTTCAAAATCTTTTCTAGCCTCATTCACTGTGCTGAAAAATATAGCCTCACTGGCTTTTAAAGGAAAACTAGTGTTGGCAGCAGCAAAAAGATGGAAAACGCAAAAGAAAGACAACCTATGCCTACAAAAGGAGCTAGACTGTAAATTTTTTCCTTAAGAAAATTATCCCTAAATGTATCATTCAAAACTGTAGTAATCTGAAATTCCAGTATCAGCTCACTACCTGTATTGTAAATAGTAAGTTGGGAATGTCAGATACATGTCTATCTGATTATTCTCAGACCATCCTAAGGAAAAAGACTTTCAGGTCTTCAACATATGTGATGTACATGTAACCTTAATCCACTTTAGCTTACTTGTAGGTAACTAAACTTTTCTTTTATAGTATCGCTGTGAAGTGTGTCTTGGACAAAAGTGATACATAACTCCAGAAGGGGTTCATGTTTATTCACGTGACCTTTTCCCACTTTCAGTAATCAGAAATACTAAAAACAAAACACTTCAAAGAGATGGGCCACTAAAAAAATCTCAAGTATATCCAATATTCCAACATCTATGAATTTAGTGGGATATTTTCTTTTCTTTGGTGGGACAGGAGTTTGCACTCAGGATTTCATGCTTACAAAGCAGGCACTCTACCGACTGAGCCACACTCCCAGTCCATTTTGCTCTGATTATTTTGGAGATGGGGTCTCGAGAACTGTTTGCCCAGGCTGGCCTTGAACCATGATCCTCCTGATCTCAGTTTCTCATGTAGTTAGGATTACAGGCATGAGCCACTGGTGGGGGCTAAGGGGAATATTTTCATTTCATATAATGCAAGTTATAATAATGCCCACATAATTTTGAAATTATCAGTAAAAATTCCAGATACCTTTACAGATTAACATATATACACTTTAATATATATAAAACCCTTTACATACTTTAAGGTGTGTCTACTTGGCTATTATAGGCAGTACATATTGTGAAAGAATAATACCTATTCTATTGGTTGGTAAGAATCCAAATCTAGTACCTATTAACATGTATCAATAAAAATTATGTAATTACAAAAATATTGTATAAGAACTAAAACTTAACTGTAAAAGATGACATAACTATCTGAAAATATTGTTTTATTTACCCCAGAAACTGCCATGAAGCAACTATCTTTCTCAGGTTCCTGACAATAACTGAGTCATCTCTTGTAACAATTCAATTCTCCCACTTCACAAATAAAGAAAACAATATTCAATGAAGTAAGAGCAATCATCAATACCTAACTCTAACTTCATACCTACTGAAGTGAAATACCCAAGAGAAGTGCAAACCACAGGACTGCTTTAAGAAAAAAGCTGAACTCTTTGGAAGTAGAAATGACTTAAAACACCTGGCAGGAAAGCTGGGTGACTCACTTTTCACCCCATGGTTATTTTGAATGGGTAATAAAATATTTAAAGAAAGGAAAAATATTCACTCTTTTGGATCTTTACTGATTATTACTAGACTCAAAAGAAAATATATGACAATTACTCTCTTACCCAACAGGCAGTAATACAGATAAAGCACATTAGTTTTTAGGGGTATCTGGTGACAGAAACAAACTTTGCTGAATCCCCTCAGTGTCAGAACAAAACACAGGAGAATGAACAGAAAATGAGTTGGGCGTAACACATTACTGACATCTTATGGCACCTGCCGTCAGTAAGATCAAAGAGCATTATTACAAAAAGACCATAAAACAGTAAGTTAAATGCAAAATGATGCACACACATTTTCATCACCCTTTTTACATGGCTTAGGAGAACTTCTATATATAATACATTCTCAAATGCAATACACTAAAAAGTATAAAGTGCTCAACAGAAGTAAAAAAAAAAAAAAAAAAAAAAAAAAAAGCGATAGCACTAACCCAAGCATGAACAAATGATGCTTAGAACAGGCAGAGTGGTTATAAAGGACATTTAAACTGTGGCCTAGCTAAGCTTTCTACCCAAGAATGTGACTTAAAAAATCAAGGTGAGCCACAGTGGCCTCCTCTTTGAAGGTAAGCACACCACTGGAGAAAAGGAGTTTTACACTGAACTACCCCCATTCTGCTCACAGGACCGGGTACTTAAAATGCAGCAATAACACCACATGTCAAGGCAAAAATAACTCAGGAATTTTTGAAGAGTCTACTATTTGCAAATTATTTGAGGACTTCTTAATGGGCTTTCAATGACTGTTTTGTGTATTACTGGCAATGGCACTGACTTTACCCAAACTAAGAGTCCACCTACTTTGGGCAGCTGAGCAAGGAAATGCCCTACCTCACAGGTAGGTCTACTGTCACTCTGTCTTTGGAGAGGTCCAGGCAGAGAACTGAACTGTATGTAGTTTGAAGCCTCCAGTTAAAAGGCGGTTTCTGTGAGGAAGTGACAAGTTCTAGACTTGCTGTTCTTTACCAAGCCCCGAGGCAAGTGGACAGAGGGCTCTTAGCAACTTGAAAAAGCTATTGGAACTTTTAAGAATGACAATTAAATCCAAAAACTACAAAGAAGATTCTTGTGTGTATAAAAGTCAATGAATTAAAAAGTTTCTTTTCAGTCCTCTGAAGCTGGCTGTGCAAAGCTCAGTTAGCTTTAGAAACGAAGTCCCTTGAATCAACAACCTTGCTTCAGTGAAGGAGATACCCATGCTGGAGACTGCTGGGAAACTTCAGGACATGTGTCCTGGGCAACTTTACCAGTGTCACTGTAAGTCACAGACCCTGCAACAGAGGGGACTGCATGCCAATATAAGGCATTTGTGAAATGGTCAGAAGTAGCCTGACTGTGTAAATAAACCAGCCCAAATAACCTATTTCTCATCCCTCTTTATTTTTTAAAAAATAAGGTTCGTATTTTTTTCTTTTCAAACATTCATAAAGAAGCCCACATTTAGAAGTATTCATGGATGCAGCACAGTGCTCGATTAAGAGGTAGTTTAAAAGTGCACTGATAAGAGCAGTCACTGAGCATTTGAACTGTGGGGCTAGAAGTGTAAAATATACACTGGTTTTGACTAAGGAATAAAAGGAAAAAAAAGTAAAATTTCTCCTAAAAGTTTGTTTTTGTATTGATTAGATATTGAAATGGCACACTGGATACTTGTAACTACAATGATTCTCACCTATTCCGTGTTACTTTCCAATGTGATCACTAGAAACCGTAAAAGTACATGTGGTTACGCTGTCTTCCTACCAGAGGACACTGTCAGGAACACAGGCATTAAAGACACTTTGGGAACTGACTGACCGACTGATGTTGGGACCAACCAATTTACTAGAGCATTCTTATAGGGAATTTCTTGAGATCAAAATTTTAAAAACTTACAATTGCAGCGGCCTTCATTAACTGTGTTCTTACTGATCAATTCTAGATTACACATGGCAAAAGCTAAGAGCAACAGTGGTGAGACAGCTGTCCACTTTACATGTGTTTTTGCAGGTAACTTCAGTTTCAAAGGGTAAAATTTATGAATCATGGGTCCATATTAACCAAAGTATAGTGATGAAATTAGCTTAAATATTTGACCATTCATTTCTTTCTCAGACTAGCCCATACCTACAGCTGCTAATGTAAGGCTTTTACCACAGGGATAAAACTTTTAGTTTCTATATAGATGGAACCAAGGGCATTTCAGCTACAGTTGCCAGCCATGGAACACTAAGCAAGAATGAAGTTGCTTTAGGTTTTTAAAATGGTGCCAAGTGACCTGAATCCAGCAATCTGTCTAAATTACACATTGCCTTCATATGCTACCTGACACTCTTACTCACATGTTCTTATCTTTATTTTAGATAAAGAAAATTGAATTTTAAACACTTGGGCACAAAATTCGTGAACTAGACAGAGAAATGTCTTTATCAAGTCTTGACAATCTATTGAGAACTGCTTTCTACTGAGTAACAGTGGCTGTGTATGGTGGTTCACATCTATAATCCCAGCTACTTGGGCAAAAAAAGTTAGCGTGAGTCCATCTCAAAGAACAAGCTGGGCATAGTGGAGCATTCCTGTCATCTTGGCTGTGTGAATGGGATAGGCAGAAGGATCCCAGTCTAAGGCCAGTCCTAGGCAAAAAGGAGAGACCCCAACCAAAAAAATAAAGCAAAATGGGCTGAGGCATAGCAAGGACAAGGCCCCAAGTTCAGGCCCCAGCATCAGAAAAGCAAACAAAAGCCACAGGTAACACTTGTTTTGAAATGTAGACAATTTGCAAACTTTGGAAGTACATCGAGACTTACTGGTAATATGTAGAGGTGAATCTCCCTCACACTTAAACAACTTCCTGGAACTGAGGACCTCAAATGTTACCATCAACATCAAATTCTGAAAATTTCTGTAACATTATAAAATTGAATTCAAAACAAGAATTCCAAGGCAAAAGGAATTACATATTTTGGAACTGTAATGCATTTATTACCAGAATGTCTGAAACACTGATCCTTTTATAATTCTGCAATACTGCCTCAGATTCCCACAAAGTTCCAATCAGCCATTCACAACAAATGTGATTCTGCTGCTGTTCAGAACGGAAATCCTTAACTTTTCACGGTTGGGGTAACAAGGAAAAAACGTGTGTGCTGTAGCCTGAGATAAATGTGGTGAAGAGCACAGAACACAGAACTAAACGGCCGGCTACGCTCCACTCGAATAGTCCATGGGCCTCATTAGAGACTCCAAGAAGTGAGAGAAGGTGCCATGTCACCACCTGTGCGTTTCCAGGACACTGCTGACATTCAGTCACGACTAACAACAGTGCTTCAAGTAGATCACCATGGCATTTGAGAAGAGTGCTACTTCCAGGAAGAGCACGGAAATATGTTGTACTTGCAGGGGAGGAGTGCATAAACATGCTTGTTGAGGAGGATATGATACAAAACTGCCATAATTAGTACATAACTACTGCTGAAGCATTTCTAAAATCACAGAAAACGATCTTTGATCACAATAAGTTCTGACACAGGGTATGTTTCTTTCTGTTCACTAGTAACCAAGACACACATAAAACAAGACTTGTAAGGGACACTCAGAATCAACTGCTCTTCTGAATCAAAATGTCTCTGAGACTTTTAAGATTTGCGTTGTGTACAGTACTACAATGTTGGCTACATAAAATAAATAGAAAATTTTTTTGAGAGGAAGCTCAATATCAGAGGCTGTATTGCATTTGAAGATTGAACACTGGCTATATACATAAGGGAAAATATATCAGCGAGAAATCCTTCACATTACAGAACTCTCGAGCTTACCATCCTAACATTTAAGATCAACAGCAATAGTGTTACTCTTTTATCCTTTGGTTCCCAGTGACAGACAATGCACTGATGATGCTTCTGGCTCCAGTTCCTCTTGGGTGACATTTCCCAACAGAGATCTCCAGTGCATTAGCTGAAATTTGGCAGTCCAAGAAGCGCACCAACTGCTCCAAAGTACCCCTGTGTGATTTTCAAACAACTGTCAGTGTGGTTCAGCTTTAACTGGCACACAATGTCAACCACTTATTAAGAATATCTATCTGTGCATCACCTTTTTGTTGTTCAGTAATGTTTATTTGGAAATTCTCCATATTGTTAGTACCGTAGGCTCAATAGATACACACACTTGTAATAAGCACCATTAAGACGTGGCTTCTAGAGATTTAAGCTTCCACGCCTATCAAAGCCATTCTGCGCCCTCTTCTCTTTACTCAGTAAACTAACTTCTGGTGGCTCTCGCTGCATTGCCATATGGAACTGTACAAGGTCACATTATTCTGATCTGCAGTGAAAGCTGTGACCAGAGACCTGGAAGCTTATGAAGCAGAACGAACACTGAATCTGCAGTAATACATCCATTTGGCTTTGATTATAAAAAAATGATTTGGAACTGGGTGCCGGTGACTCACACCTGTAATCCTAGCTATTTGGGAGGCAGAGATCAGGCGGATAATGTTTCAAAGCCAGCCTGGTCAAGACCCTATTCCCAGGCAAATAATTTGCAAATTCAAATCTTAAAAATACCCAACACAAAAAAAAGGGCTGGAGTGGCTCAAGTGGCAGAGTTCAAACCCCAGTACCACCAAAAATATTTAAAAAAAAAAAAAAAAAAAAGATTTGGGTTAAATTTTTTTAACCCAAGGCATTATGAGGACTAATAATGGTTCAGATTAGAATTTAACTTGTCGTAATAAACAACAACAAAATTTTAAAAAGAATAAATTTCAAGCTGGGCACCAGTAGCTCACACCTGTAATCCTAGCCACTTGGGAGGCTGAGATCAGGAGAACGGCATTTCAAGACCAGCCTGGCAAACAGATCTCCAAACTAACCAGAGCAACATGGACTGGAGGTATAGCTCAAGTGGTAGAGAGTCTGCTTTACAAGTGTGAAGCCCTGAGTTCAAACCCCAGTCCCACCCCCCAACAAAAGAATAAATTTCAAATGCTAACAGTGGTTACTTTAGTTCTGGAGGGGTGGAGTTGTGGTGAGAGGATTAAAGAGAATTTTCATTGTTAAAAGCCCACTTTTATGCTTCGATAAGTCTGAGTGTGGTGCTGAGGCACCAACAGGGCAATGAAAAGAGGTCAGTGTCTGAAATTTTTGTAATTGATCATATTAATCATTTTTTAATGGGTTCAGGACAAAGAAAAAAACAATTTAACAAAACAGCCACCAAGTCGATTAGCAGCCCTCCTATCCGAGAAGATCAGAGACCTTAAAATGCTCACTTTTTGGCTAGAAGAACCACGTCAATCTTATCTTAATGGGGTGCCTATCAGATTACAGCAACTGCTTTCCCCCAACTGAAACCAAAGTGAAGGAATCAATATTCTACTGAAGCAAAGAACCTGCAGCAATGGTGGCACACACCTCCAACCCCAGCAAATGAGGCAGGGGGATGGAGTTCAAGGGCAGCTTGGACTACATGATGATACCTTATCCTTCCCCCCCCACCCGCCCCCAAAAAGAAAGAAAATCAAAAAAGTAATTTGTAGTTTTACATTTATAAATACAAGGTAAAAAGCAATATATAAAATTTGTGTTTAAAAACATCTTATTAACCCAGTACCATCAAAACCCCTGCTATTAGATAACTCAAAAGATTTGTCATACCTCATGTTCTAGAAACAGTGCTTTCAATTGACCTTTCGACCAATAATCCAGTGCATATGCCAAAAGTTTCATTGAGAGAGTATTGACACGTAAGAAGTTTCCAACAAAGACAACTCTGTTTATTTTCTATAAGAAAAAAGAAAAGATCAAAGGAAGTGACTTGTAAAAATTATTTTGCAGTTTTTATAGTACAAATGTCTTACAAAATGTCTGTTTAAAACTATCAAGAACTACCTTTCATTAGTGCCTACTGCATTCCAGACACAGAGCTCTATGGTTCTGAGTGTTCACAAATCAGAGCTGGACAGGTCATTATAAATCTGTCAGAACTCACAGACTGAGCAACACCAAGAGTGAGCTCTCATGGAAACCGTGATGTTAGTGCTGATGTTTAGGCAGGTCAAAGACTAACATCAAACGTCCCACTCCGTTGGGGGATTTAACAATGCATGAGCATGGTACACATGAGGTATACGTGAGAACTCTACTTTCTACTCAGTTTTACTGTAAACCTAAAATTGTCTAAAAAACAAATTCTACTTTACAAAAGTTCTGTAAAGACCCTAGCACATGACTTAAGATACAATGAACTGTGAATGCTGTGAAGCATGTTCAAGCTGGTCTCCACGAGCTGGAGAGTAACAATGACTGGAGAACTGGTATGTGCACCAGCCTCACTGTGTCCCCATCCTGTCAGCACATTCTCTCTCTGCTAAGATGCCACACTCACTAATTTAGTTTCTAAATTAGTTTAGTTTTTAGTGTTGCTATGATTAGGGAATCTTAGCTGAGGTCACTGGTATTTGAATGTCCAGAAAACTTACTCCTACTCTCTCTCATGGTAATAAACTGACTTTTGGGTATAAATCTTTGCATGAGTTTGGATAGTATAAACGATGGCCTTTTTTCCTGTTAAGTCAACTGGCTGGTGAAAATTTAGACCTATGGGGATAGAACAAAGACTGCAGATCACTGCCAGCCCCCCAATCTTATCAATCAATTCAATATACTGTAATTAAAAGTGTAAGAGATCAGATACTGGGTGTCAACGAGGAAGAAAACACAGTCCTTTCTGCTGAAGCTTCTCTCCACCAAGAACCTGCATGCAGTTCCCTTGGCAAATTCAAATCTTTGCCCAAGGGCCATGTTTTCGTTCCTTTTTTTGAGCTGTTTATAAACCTTATCTGAAAAATTTTGACAAACCATGTAAGAGTAAGTTGTTCACGAGATGCCTCATCAGCCTCAAATACTTTAGTGTATAATTAACACAAATAAGGATCTTCTGCATGCACAGTTCAGTTTCACGTGGACTTACTCCCAATTCTCTTTACCCTGTTTGAGTTCCTTTTTAAAAAGCAGCATTTAGGGGCTGGGGATTTAGCTCAGTGGAAGAGCGCTTGCCTGGCAAGTGCAAGGTCCTGAGTTCGGTCCCCAGCACCAAAAAAAAAAAAAAAATAAAAAAGCAGCATTTATCATTTAATACATTTTAAATGATTTACTGACTACATCACTAGAATAATGTAGGCTCCAAAGTCAGGGACCTCTGCTTTCTTCACTAATCTATCACGCCCGAAGTTTAGTCAATGAAATCTGTAATGAGTAAATGAACAAATGAAGGGTTCCTTCAAGAAGCCAAGCTCCTAATTCATTTTAAGTAGCTGACATTTACAAAACCAAATAGGCAATTATTTCTACTACATGGAGGTATATACATATATTATGTTTCAAATAAGAACGTTTCAACTAAGTGGTCAACTAACCTAGTAGCACATGATTCTCCATGGCATGAAGACCAGCTCCCAGTGCCTTCATAGCCCTGTACAATGCTGCTTGATCCATATGCAACAAGGCAGCACTGTAGAGAAGCCGAGGGCAGCGAGAAAGCTTCCATACTCAGTGAGGTTACCTCAGAAGGTCTTACGGTTACAGTTTCTCTTTTCAGTCTCAGGAGATTTAGGCTGTGCATTTCTGAGAGGCTTCTGGGTAAATAAACATGGCCCATTTCAATCTGAATTATCTGCTATTGTGTTTACAATCAACAAGACAATCGAGCACATAACATACATACTGAGTATGTTTTGGGATTTGATGGAATAGATTCCAACCCTAGAGGCCTCCCTCCTTAAAGAAAGCAAAGACGCCTCATCAGATGGACAGAGGCTCCAATGTACAATCTTCACAGAACTCAAGTATTTTTACCTCATTAACAGCACACATCCGTGCCACAGAGCCAATGTTATTGGTGATGGTGACTAAGGTGGCTCGTGCCAGATCTTCTTTACTAACAGCCTCTCGCTTCTCCTTGTAAATCATATTCCCAAAGCTGCAGAGAAATGAAGTGCAAACCAAAGTCAAATGCACTGGTAGCAAGCAGTGTCTTCTACAAAGTCAGTATCAAAAGAACAAAACACACAGGGACACAAAAAAAACCAAACATCTAGATAAGGAAAAGTAGTACCTTTTAAAGAATTAAGGTTAAAACTAAGTCTCAAAAAAAGCACACTTGATGGTTACAAGGAAGCTAAAACACCTCCATTTCAAACCTAATACAAAATAAGGATATTAACAGGCCATTAGGAAGCCAAGAAAAATAGGGAAGTACATTTTGACTTACTTTTTTAAAAAATCAAAATGTTTTCAAGGATGATTCTAGCTTTAATGCCAAATCCCTTTTCCTTCAATCACAACAAACATTTGTGACACAGCAGACAAGCATGGTACAAGGGACATGAAGGAGGTCCTCAAGCAGTGCAGGACTCTAGTGCAGCACTGTCCACTAGAAAAGACAGGAGCCACACGCAACTTCATGTATCTATTAGCCATGTTTAAATAGTAAAAAAACCGAAGAAATTATGTATTTTACTTAAGCCAACATATTTAATACAGACACTTCATGGTACACTCTAGTCATACCCATGTGTTTGATATACGTGTGGTTAGAGGCTATTTTGTGGACAAGGCTGGCCTAGACAGAGGAGTGGCAGAAACACTGACTGTAACAGGAAAAACATACAAAATCGAACCATGGGCTACCTTGGGAACACAAAGGGAAAAAGATCCTATGTTGCTGTGGTAAGAGGAAAAGGAGAGAAGCTACGTAGGAAGGCTTCCAGAGGGAAAAAAAAGAACAGACAAAACTAACCAGAAAGAGATAAGGAAAATTCCACACAGAGGCAACCAAGGGTTAGCGGCACACAGAAAAAAAAGGACCAAAAACACTTATGAAATCACAAGTGACAGTGAATGGTCAGAGTGGAGGGTGGAGTGAGGGCGAAGCAGGACACAGGCTAAGGAGAGCAAAGCCCAGCACTGCAGGCACTTGGGAGTGGGTAAGTAACAGGTGGACAGCACAATGAAGATGACACAGTAGAGCAAAAGAATCTAAGAGTTACAGTAAAACAAACAGATGAGCTAAATTATCCAACTGTAAGACATAACATCATAAAGATGTCATTCTTCCAAAGCTAATACATAAACCTAATGAAATTACAAAAAAAGTCTTTTCATTTACAGTAAAGAAAATGAGTATAAAGGTCATCTGAAAAATTAAATTCTCAACAGGACACCAGACTTTCTACATACTAAAGCCCACTTTTATGTTTCAGTTAAGTCCGAGTGGTGCTGAGGCACCAACAGGGCAATGAAAAGAGGTCAGTGTCGTAAAAAATTCATCTCAAATCAATGGGATGAAGAAGGACTAGTAGGGGTTAGGGCCTTCTGAAACACTAAAACTTCACCTGCACCTCACAAAACTGCAATATAAATTATAATCAAGTATTAAATTAAATTAAAGATTGAAATATAAAAATTACTAGCACAGTACCAGCATACAAGGGTTTATTCCTTTACATACTTGGAATGCAGAAGACTTACTTACTATGAATCAATATCCAGAAGCCATAAAAGAAAAGACTGATAAATTCAACTGTGTAACAAACAATCCAACAGAAAAACAGAACATGAACAATCACTCACAGAGAATAACATATGCAAGGTTCTCAAACTCATATTGGAAAGAGAAATGCAAATTATAATTACACTAAGATGCCACTTCTCCCTCAGATTAGCAAAACCTCAGCTGACAGCACAGAAGTGGTGAGACTGCAGGGAAACGGGCTCTTTCACCTCCTTCCATAAGGTAGAACAGTACCGGTCCTCTGGAGGACAAACTTAACACCTTGGCCATCCTGCTTCTGGGAATGTCTGATAGGTAAGCCTGCAGAGCTCGACATAAGAATACAGCTACAATATAGTGAGCTTTGAGGACATTTAGTATGCGGTGTAGCGGCATAAAGTATAAAGTACGCCATAAGTATAACCTTTTGTATAGAAGAGGACAGTCAGCATGTGCATTTGTATTTGCATACGACAATACTGGAAGGACATTTCAGAATGAATAAAAGTAGTTCCATATAGGGTGCACTCAGACTGCACTTAATGTACATTTGTTTTTAAACTACTTCTGTGTTCATTCAGCACTTGGAACTGAGCAGGACAACTCCCTTGCTCTCGAGTAAGAACATAAACCTTAACTTGCCTGGATGCCACTGCCCAACCTGGCAGGCCAAATCTTTCATAATCCCCTCCATAAATGTCTCGGACCAACTTGTCAGCTTGGGTGCTGTCGCCTTTGGATGCCATTTCCAGAGCCTCTTCAAAACTTTCGCAGCCAGTCAGTAAACTGCACAAGCCCAGAAAGGTCCCCCCTCCGAGGCTAAGGAAAAGAAAGAAAACTTGCTGAGTTGCATTCACACGCTATTATTCTTTATCCAAAGTAAAAGGGTACAGCATTCATATACCGAGTAACCACCCAGAAAGAACTTACTACTAACAGTAAAATATCCACATAATGAAAGAAGGCAAGAAAAACTGCTCAGTAAAACCAAACCTGCAACATCAAAGAACAAAACAAGGCAGGGAAAACACTTGGCACCTAGTACCTTTTATTCTGTACCTGCTTAAAATACATTGTGGTGTGTGCATTAAAAAGGAACGCTAACAGACCAGGTGGAGTGGTGCATGTCTGTAATCCCAGCATATGGCAAGGCTGAGGCAGGAGGACCATGATGAGTTCCAGGTTAGCATGTGCTACACAGTGAGACCCTGCTGTTTTAAAAAAAAAAAAAAAAAAAAAGTGCGTAGGTAGGGGAATGCTAAATTTCATTCGACATGAATGAAAAGAAGGAATGTGTAATTTCAACAGTTATCCTCTAAGAAATGATTCTGTGAAAGAAAGGCTTATGTAATATGACGTGACACAAATGTCACAGTGACAGGGAGTTGCTTGTATTACGCTCACAAATTAAAGTATGCCTCTCCAATCTCCTAACTTCAACATCTTGGATCCCTAGCCTCATCTAAATTTCTGCAATTTAAAGTTAATCAAAATAGGAAATACCTGTATATAATTCTTTGGTATAGAGTGGAGGTGGACTCATGTAAGTATCATTTTGTCACTAACTGATTCAAAGGATCTTAAAATCTTTCTTTTTTAATCATACAGAGCCTTTGCCTCTCCTTAAAAGTTGACGAAGCCAGGTGCCAGTGGCTCACACCTGTAATCCTAGCTCCTCAGGAGGCAGAGATCAGAAGAATTTGGTTGAAAGCTAGCGCCGTGCAAATAGAGACCCTATCTTGAAAAAACCCCTTATAAAAGAGGGCTGGTGGAGTGGTAAGAGTGCCTGTCTAACAAGTGTGAGACCCTGAGTTCAAACCCCCATGCTGCCAAAAACAGTAATAAAGCCAGGCACCAGTGGTTCACGCTTATAATCCTAGCTACTCAGGAGGCAGAGATCAGAAGGATCACAGTTTGAAGCCAGCCTGGGCAAATAGTTCGTGAGACCCTATCTTGAAAAACCCTTCAGAAAAATAGGGCTGGTGTTGTGGCTGAAGGTGAAGGCCCTGAGATCAAGCCCCAGTATCTCACACACCCACACCCACCCACACACACACACACACAAATAAGTAAAAATAAAAAGCTGATGAAACACGTAGGAGAATTACAAGGAAAAATTGAGTCTTTTCACACTCAGTGTCTCAGATGTGAGAGAAAATCTTCTGGTATACTTGAGAATACTACTGTTATCCCTTAAGGAGCCCATGTTAAATTCACCCTGTAAGAATTAACTACAAAGTTATCCAATGTTATAGTTTAAAAGCAAGTATGTCTAGCAAATGGCAAGCTTTAGGCTTCCATTCGTCTATAAAAAAAGTGAAAAACAGTGCAAGAAGAAAAACACTTTGAAGAATAAAAGAATAGAACACGAATGTACACTGCAGTTCTGAAATCAACATAACATTGTTTCTGGCAAATTCTCTCCTGCTAAACTCTGGAAAAGAACATTAGTGGAATAATCCTAGATGAAAATTCACTCACAATTATGGAAATTTTGATGCTGACCAGTAAAATAAGCATCCAGGATTTGAGTTTGAGTCTTCACGTAGACATCTTATAAAGAAGACATTACCCACCGCATTTTACCTTGTCTACATTTTTTGCTGTTGCACAAATACACGTTATTTTCCTGGTGAAACTAGCACCAGTATGTGGGTTTCACAGCAGGGTACAGCTCAGTGGTAGAGCACTTGACTGGCATTTGTGAGGGCCTGGGTTTGATCCCCAGAGCTGGGATACACCCATGCGCATACACAATCTCATAACTTTGTGTACAAGACATTGTGAATGGTGCAATAAAACCAAAAAGGCTATTACCTTGTCCCAGTCACTCGTTTGTAGTTGTCTTTGGAATGGACTGCTAGAACACTGACTCCTGAGCCGATGTTCACTACTAGCAGAGGGTAGGGATCATCCAGGTTAAAAGGCATCTTTTGGCACCGCTCAGGTTCTGAGGCATTAGCAAAATAATAGCACTCTGCTTGCCCATTGAAACTGACAGAATCTATGTACAGCAAGCCCTTTACAAGGCAGTCAAGTTCATCCAGTTTGTGTAGGTGGAGGTTTCCAATCTGTAAAAAAATTAAAAACAAATTTCTGAGTCAAAAAAAGGACAATATTCAAAATACTTCCCTCAACTGTGTGATTTCAGCATCTTTTATGACCCTCACATTTTCATTTGTCTTTGTTTTGTTTAGTGTGAAAACATCTCAGGGATTTCATCCAGTCTACTGGTTCTCAATGAGGGTTGCAGCACAGCATGAGGAGGGGACAGATGGCCATGATGGGATGATGGGATGGGGATGACAGGCAGGAACCAAATTGACATTTAGGGGCATGAACTTGGACATCAGACATCTGCAGTGGATGGGACAGTTCTGCAAAAAGAATCACCCCATTGCTGTGTTGTCTTTGACCTTTGGCTATAGGAAAGTTTGTAATTATTTGGTTCTACATAGGCACAAAGTAGTTTACCTACCTACCTGCCTATGTGGACAAACGCCAAGTGTCCCTTGTAAGATGTTAGTATATATACTGCCTTTGCTCACAACTCACCATATAAACAAGGGATACTGTGCCTCTACTGTTTGGGCTGGTCTTGAACCATGATTCCCCCAAGCAGCTGGGATTATAGGCATCAGCTGTTTGCTTTTCGGCATCTTGGAAAGTCATGTTACCAACAGCAACACCACTCATGGAACTTGATTCTCCAATCTAACATGTATATAGCTTTGATATTTGTGATCAATCTATATGTACGCATGTGTAAGCATTTAAGTAACTTATTATGTCCTCTGGTATGATCTATTGATATGTAAATACCTGCACTCGCACTCGAGCTGAATACTGAGTTGTACTCCTAGGTCCCTTCAATGTCCAGTACAATACCTGACACATACTAAATGTCAAGTACCTGCCTAATCTATAACAAAACAAATTTATAGAATACCATTAGAAAATAATTACAGTTTTAAACACCAGAACTCCACATTTGGATTTCAGCATCTTCAATGGCCAAGAGAAAACTGGCTTCAAGGACACTATTTTCAGCAAGAAAGCTGGCAAACACTAATATCCTGTGTCCACACCAGGCAGGTGCTGCACACTTATAACTCAGCTACTGGAGATGCAGAGGCAGGAGAATCCCAAGTTTGAGATCCCGGACAAGGATCAACAAAAAGAAAAGAGATCAAGTGAGGCCCTCGGTTCAATCCTCAGTACCATAAATAAATAAGTAAATATCACACGGCCAAAGAAAATGATCTCAAATTCATGACATTTATGTTCAAATTACTCAACCGAATACAAATCAGCATTATTCGTCAAAAGAAAAAATTAAATGAAAACAAATTTCAGGTGCCCCAAATACCAACTCTGAGTTTTGTTCTTGAGGAAAAGACCTGCAGTTTTGCAAAGTCCTAACAGCACATACATCAATTCCCAATAGTAGTCTTGCTGTATCCCAATCACCCCAAGCCAGGAACCTATCTACTAGCCAAAACTGGGGTTTGGGAAAACAGTGGCCCAGGAAGAGACAATGATGCTCAAAGGCCCAACAAATGTAGAGTACTAAAGTGAGAGGAAGTCAAGACCCGTTCACACCTGACTGTTCACTGCCATTTGCGATGTCCCCTTTCCACTGCAGTTTTGCAGCACAGTCATAAACTAGCAGGTATAACCAAACGGAGAGGAAGTCAAGACCCGTTCACACCTGACTGTTCACTGCCATTTGCGATGTCCCCTTTCCACTGCAATTTTGCAGCACAGTCATAAACTAGCAGGTATAACCAAACGTCATGGGCAATTCAGTCAGTCATCCCATAAAGGTGTTTAAAATGTCCCAAATCAAAGTCAGTCACGAGTATACATTTCCTCTGCCTCAACAAGGGGGCTAACCTAAGGAATATTCTAGCTGGAAACACAGCCTTATTTTTAAAAACTGAACACAATAAGCATCAATTTCTGATTTTCAAGTAACAGATACCTACAGTACGAAAATCTTTTTCAAACTTGTAAGCACCGCCTCCTGTAGCACATAGCACCGTTTGTAATGTTGAGAAGTTTTTGTCTCTTCCCATTTGGATGAAGGTAGGCAGGTCCTGGGTTGGAAATCTGATAAAGTGCAAGTTCCCTCTTCGGCCAAAGAGCGTCAAGTCCTTCAGCTCAAGGTGCACATCCCGAATGCCGGTGGATCCATATGCCACATTAGATGTCAAGTACTTCCGAATACTCTTTAAGCTCTCAACCTCTTCTTGTTCCTCTTCTGCTGTGATGTCGATAGGTTCAAAATAGGAGAGTTTTACTAGTGTTCCCCCAATGTCCATGCCAAACCATGGGAAAGCTGTGAATTTAAAAAACATACACTGACTTTAGACACACAAATTCAGAAACAAGTAGCTTATGAGCCCAAACTTCATTGATCCTGAATCACACAGTCAATAATATGTATTAGGTGAGACATATCGTCTATGTGGAGCTCATCTTCCCCTTCAGTCTTATCTGTGTATTCTCTAAAAACACACAGGAGACTGTGATGGCCCAGCGCCTTTTAATTTCTGATCTGATGGGACTCTTCAAGCACTTATCAAGTGTCCCAAGCAATAGAAGAATGTGAACCAGCATGTATAGGTCACCACCTAGAGCTTGAACATCTGTTTTCTTAAAGATTTTAATATGGTGCAATTGGCCTATGATCACGTCAAGTAGCCCATGGGAAAAGTACCTCCTTAAAAAGAAATATTTTTCTCTGTTCCTTAAGCATCTTGAGTTTCTTTGGTCCATCTGGTTAATGAGGTGGAGGTGTGCCTTCTCAGGAATAAGCACCCTGGCTTAGGACTTGGTGCTCTAACTTGGCTCTGACTCTGGAGAATCCGTCAGCCTCCCTAGGGATTACTTTCCTCAATTTCCTCCAGAGAATGATTACTGAGTATCTTCCCTGCATCAAAATGGGTAAGATAAAATTTCTCCTACAAGGACAGCTCAATTTAGCAGGGGAGTGTCAATGTATGCACACAAACCTGAGACAGGCCAACAGAAGGAATGCTAAATTCTATGCATGTGTTTGAATGTGAGGAAAAATAAAAACACAAACAGTTCATCCAAAGGCAAAGAGGCATAAGTCAATACAGTTAGGGAACTAGGGCCTTGCAACCTAGGCAAAGGAGCTTAGACTTCAATCTATAGATAATATTCTCAGCAAGAGTGACAATCTAGCTAAGACAGCTTCCACAGTGGTGGGGCAGGACAGACAGAACTTACAATGTGTCTGTAAAGCAAACTTGAGGTACCCTAAACCTAATAGGTTGAAATCATCTAGTGATTATTTAAAAAATAATGTATGCGTACATCACTTCACAGACAAGCAAAGGAGGCAAATTACAAACCTGCTAAAGGTCAAACTGTTAGTAAGTGACAGAGACAGGACTCTATCCTGAAAGTCTACTTGTATACTGGGATCTTAATTACTATAATAAGAGGCTCAAAATAATTTAATCTTTAAAATACACAGATTACAAAATATTTAACAAAAGAGAGTTTCTGTATAAAAATTGTCAAGGAAAATTCTGTTGATTAAAAAATATTTCTAGAAATATTCTAGAAATTACACATTTACTAAAATCATGATGTGACTTTGAACGTGAGGAAGAATTAATTATCATCATCTTCTGGAGAAAGAGCTCATGTCTTTCTGCATTTCAATCCAAACTGCACAGGCAGAGGTACGTTAAAGACATTTTTGTTTTTTAAATAAGCATGGGCAGCAAGATCCCAAATAAACACTATGATTTTAAGTCACCTACAAAGAGGCTATAGTGTAAATAAGAAACAGAAGCTGACTTTTCTCAATTTTGTGAAAAGGCCATCTTGAATGGCAGGCCTTTCACAGAACCACACAGTAACACACCCCTAGGTAAAAAAAGTGTCACCAAGTTCTGCTTCCTGTATATTCATAAAATCTACAAAGTTTGCTTATTTTCCTACCCCTTCCCCACATTCTGTGCTCAAATAATCAGCAGTGGCAAGCAGCTATGGGAAATTTATACTAAGAGTGTTTTCTTGAACAAATACACTTTAAAACAGCAGGAGATTCTTTTTTGAATTGTTTCCATCTGTTGAAAACATATGTAATTAGGGCACTTTTCCATGAGCATTAACTATAAAACAAACAAATCCTTCTGATATTACCTAACTAAAATGAATTCTATTGACATTTGGTTATAGATTTCACAGGAGAATGGAAATCACTTTTGCCAGATAAAGTACATTTGGGATAGAAAAATTTCTCTATGGTGAGATTTATTAAACTTAAACCCAGTATTTTTCAAATTCAAAATACACTAAATTCGAGTATTTGCAGATTTTTTTCCTCTTTTGGGTGGTACTGAGGATGAAGCCAGGGCCTTGAGCTCCACCCTCATCTCTTTGCATATTTTCTTTCTGTACCTCTTGTCAGACACAGGTGTCAGAATATACACACTAATCAGAAAATGTTATTGATGGTGTAAACCACAAAGCTTCAGCAGGTTCAAGTTCAAACATTTTATTTCCAGAGAGACTCCTCTGTTTCACAGGTTTGTAAATATGCAAATGCTTCCATTTTAAAGGCAAACCCCTCAATTAACACCTGGCTTTCAATTGTTATTCAAATCCATGAATTAGGTTTCAAAGGAAACTTGATGCCTAGGAACTAGTTCACATTTACTGATAACTGGGGGTTGAGAGATGGTCTACTTTTCCCACGTGAGTAAGCACCAAGGTCTCCTCTGACTCTAAAGGTCTATCAACAGCCAGTTTCAAAACACTTCCTCTGCCCACTCTGTAACCTGTACACACGCGTGCTGAAGTGTTCGAGACAAAGGTACATAAGTGATTCCAATCCCTCTGCAGCAGGCAGTACAAAGGCTCCCAGGAAGGTGGTGGTCTCTTCTCTGCTTCACTGACCGAAATCCTGTGTTTTAAAGTCTGAAGTACATGAAGGTGTGTGTTAATGTTTACTGATTCTTGCAGAGAAAGAAAATGAGTTTAGGTATAATTTCATTAAGATGATAAAATGCAAAAATATGCAGCTTCTTTAAAAAGCTTCTCAGGCTGCAGTCTGCATGAAAAGACCAAACTTGCCCTAATTAAAAAAGAAAGCTACACAAAAAATAAAAAGAGCATTCCTAAATATTATTACAGATATTAACTGTATCATTTGTGTTTATGGTGACTTTTTTTTTTTTTTAAAGCAGTACTATGGTTTGAACTCAGTGTTTTGTGCTTGGGAGACAGGAGCTCTGCAGCTTGAACAGACCTCCAGCAGACTTTCTCCTTAAAATCAAGGTGGGGCTGAATGAGAACTGAGCCCTGCCAGCAGCTCCAGTTTAAAAAGAGTTGCTTACAGCCACTTTTGCAGAGGTCCTTCAGCTCAGCAGAGTTCTGGAATTTGCTTCCTTCTGCCAGAGAAATAATTACCATTCAAACAACACGAAGGAAGCAACAAGAACACACAGACACAAAATCTCAATTATGACCCCCTCCTACCACTTGGGAGGGTTTAGTCACTGACCTATAGTTTCCAGTATATTAAAAAAGTACTTACAATTGTTATTTTTGTCACTCACAAAAATGAGCAAGGGGCAGGAACCTCAAAAGTTACTTATTTGTCATGAAAATATGAGGTAAATATAAGGGTATTAAATAGAATCATAGATCACCTAACAGAGTTCCATGACCTAAGCGAAATACCAGTTTTCCTAAGAAAGCTCATTTACAGTTTTGTTGCTCTCAGCTATGAACAGAACAGTTTGGACCAGTGCATAAGCAACCTCCCTGCTCTGTGCAACTAAATGATTGTTCTTCCTTTCTAGAATTAAACCTGTACTGCCAAAGTGGGGAAGGGGGGAAAAAAAAAAAAAAGGGCCAAAATGCACATTTGAAAAACCAAACCAGAACACATCCCGTCAATATAAGCAAGCACAGTGATGATGGCAAAAACACACAGTACCTTCTCAGACTGAGGATCCTAAAATCCCTTATGATCTACTCACTTAGCCTTTAGGAAACTAACAGCCCTTACTCTATGTCTCAACTAATCTTAGGAGAGTTGCCATGAGGTCCTCATATGTAACACAAATACAGGCACAGAGCTCCCAAGGTTATTACCTTCCTTACAAGGCAGATTGAATATGAGAACAGTGAAACAGACACATCCAATTACATTTTTAAGCTACCTAGCCTCAAGGGCAGACTTAACTTCTAACAAGATGTGTTAAGTTTGACGTCTTTTGCAAGTTAACAGGTTGGGGAGAAGCTCAAAAGACTTATTTAACTGCCACTGGTCCCATACAGATCCAGTCCAAAGGAATTCTATACCAAACAAGGTTTTAAACAGTCCAAAGGAATTCTATACCAAACAAGGTTTTAAACGTTCCTTAGACATAAAGAGAAACCATATGCTAAAAATGTTCAAAGCATTATAGGATATTTTAAGGAGCAAAATTCTAAAATGGGTATCTACACTGGTAAATTCCAGATATGCTCTGAATTCCTATATAAAAGATATTTCATTCTTCAACAATCATTCCAACTAAAAACTGTGTGTTTGCAAAAAATACCCATCTCACACTGTCGGCGTTAAGATCCCTTGGGACAGCTTTGGGTAGATTTTGTTCTCTTTAGCAAATTACCTGTTTCGAAGGGGAGTCACATTGGGAATTATTACCTCCAACAAACAGGCCAATCAAGTGATGTAGAAGCAGAGTACGTGAGAGCTTTATAATCATCTGTGCTCAACAGCAGCTTCAAGTACCTTACTCCTTGGGTCAGCAAACCACTGAGTCAAAATCTACATTACATCACATTTAAATGCATTTATTACCTTTTACTGTCACTTTGCTAATTCCGTCACATGTCATACAAGTAAGAAAAACACAGGCCAAAAAAACCTTCATCTCAACAACTCTTGTCTGTCAAGGTGGAAGGGAACAGAACCGACCATGTTCTCCTTCCTCTGGGTTGAATTAACACATTATTTCAAATGCTAATCTTAGCATTTGAAAGCTAAGTTTAGCTAAACTAAGCTTAGGTGGTGAAATCAATTCCTTCAAAACTTCTCTAGTTAATACAGGCACTTACTTGAGAATTTGTCACTGTACTAGCGATGTATCTTAAAAGTAATACTTTCTAACACTTGGGTGAGGCCAACATCAGTTACTTAACCAGCAAGAAGACATGCAGCTTCCTCTCCTAAGGCTGTAAGGGCACAGTGCATATAAAGAAAAATCGCTTCTCACACACACTGTCAATAAACATTATAATTATTCAAAAAACACAACCTCTTCAATTATTCCAATTATTTTAAACACAAAAAATAATTATGCCTTTAGCTAACCTGAGTGGTTTAATGTAACACTTCTCAGGACAGCTCAGAGTCAGAATATCTTCTTTCCCATACCTACAAAACAAGATGCTCTTCATTTTCTACTATAAAGAATTTAGTAGGCACTTTTTACCAATAAGAAAGTGGGAATTTTATTTTAGAGTTCTAAATCACATTAACTGACCAGTTTTTCAGAATGACTCTATTTTAAGATTAATGATTTCACCATGTACCACAATGTAATAAACTTGTTTTTAAAAAAGGTATTCTTTTATTTTTCAACCTAAAATTTATTTAATAAACCTTTTTTCTTTTCTTTTTAGGCAGTAGGGGGTTTAAACTCAGGGCTTCCCATCTGCTAGGAAGGCCCTCTAGTGCTTAAGCCACGCCTCCAGCACTTATTTTATAAACTTTTATTGGTAATCATTATAATTTTTCTGAAACACTGAAGCACACTGTATTCGTACTTGATTATTAGCTTGCTCAAATCTAAGCACTGAAATCACTATTATAACAAAAAGAAAAGCTCTTCACCAAGACCAGCAGAGCAAACAGTGCCTGGAGGGAAGAGCTCCAAATGTTCTACGCGGCTACATCTGTTTCCCAGGCAGCAGCTTAACCCAGCAGGTGTAAAATAAATCAGAAGTGCTTCTACATTGTTATTTAAGCCTCCACCCGCTATTTTAGAACCCTTGAACAACTAGCACAGAATTCTTCAGCTCTCACAAGATATTAAAAAATTTTTGTTAGCAGATGAAACTACCAGATAAGAAAGCTTCCTGTGGCTGGGCGCCGGTGCCTCACACCTGTAATCCTAGCTACTTAAGAGGCAGAGGAGGATCGCGGGCTCGAAGACAGCCGGGCAAAAAGTTCCCCGAGACCCTATCTAGAAAAACCCTTCACAAAACTAGGGCTGGTGGAGTGGCTCAAGGTGAAGGTCCTGAGTTCAAACCCCAGCAACATACATAAATAAATAAATAAATAAAGAAAGCTTCGTGTTTCTCAAGTGCCCTGTAGATCCAGAGGAAAAGAACAATGGACTTTGAGCCAGGGACTTCGAGTTCTCAACTTCAGTAGCAATAGGTGGTTGGAAGAGCCTTGGGAAAGTTATTCCGAACCACAGTAAGCTCAGTTTCCTCATCTGTAAAGTTAAGGCCAATTGCTCTCCCATTAGTTTTCAGAGGAACTTGGCGGGTCGCTTCTGTGAGGACGGGCAGGGAAGGTGTCAGGTCCCTTTTCACAGCTGGAGACTTCTCAGAGCAGGCGGGAGGATCGCACCGCTCCAAGACACGAGCGGGAATCCCCAGCCCCACTTGTTCTGGGAGACCACAATCACAACGGCTGAGCGATTAGATCCAATCAGCCAACTGCAGGAATAAAGGGCTTTTAAGAGGCCGACACTAAAAGGAAGTAATGAAAGCGTTTTTTTGTGTTTTTTTTTTTAACAGTATGGTAGGAATTCAAGCGCATGCATATGGAGTCAGAGACAGAGCTCCAGGGGAGATTCGCCGTTCTAATATGGCTCGCTCGGGGCGGCGGGAATATGTGTGTTTTAAACCTTCTGTTTTCTAAGACCGTCAGCCAGCCGATATTCTAACGCAAGTCGAGCCCGGGCAAACGCACCCGACGGCAGGCGACACGCACGTGCCTTTAAAAGCTCTAAATACAGCCAGAGTGACAACTTCCAGGGCCCCACGGGGTTTCACGGGCACGAGCAGAGGCGCGGAAATCAGTGAAAGCGGGCGGCAAAGGCCCCTCGTTCTCAGCGTGACCACCTCCGTCCAACCCGACTCCGGGCACCAAGAGGCGCCTGGACGCGAAACCGGGACCAACCCGCCCCCGTGCACCTCCCAGACCCGGAGGCGGCGGCGGGGGGACGGGGCAGGGGCGGCCGAGCACCACGGGGAGGGCGGACCGCAACCTCGAACCCGGAGCTCGGCGGCGCCTCCGCCCCCCTCGCGGCGGGAAAGCAGGCCACCCGCCCCGCGCTGGCAGACGCGGCCCGACGCCCTCCCACCCCGGCCGCCCCGACCCCCCTCTTACAGGGTTTCTTGGCATCCTTGATCTTCATGGCGTCGGCCTGAGGGGCGAGCGGCAGCCTGGAGCGCCGAGCTAGAGAAGGAGTGGCGGCGACTCCAGAGGTGGCTGGGCCGCGCGGCGAGGCCCGGCCAGTTCCTCCCCTCAACCCGGGCGGGGCGGGCCTAGGGCGGGGCGGCGGCGCCCGAGGCGACGCCCGGCCCAGGGGGTGGCCCCCACCCCCTCGAGGGGAGGCCGGGACCGAGCGAGCTGGGGAAGGCCGCCGGCTTCGCCGCTCCGGGGCCCCCCACAGCCGCTCCGAACAAAAGGCCCCGGTCCCCCGAGCCGCCGCCGCCGCCGCCGCCGTACTGAGAATTAGCCCGCCCAGGCCGCGCGCCCACGTGACGCAAACTCCCTCTCCCCGCTTGCCACGGCGCTGCTGGGAAGTGTAGTTCTCCGCGTCCGGAGGTCCCGCTCTCTGGCTGCAGCTCCGCAGACGGACTACAAAGCCCAGGATGCATCGCGGCCCCTCCTCCCAGCCAACCCCTCCGCTTCCGGAGATCGCCTCAGAGTGGTCCCAGCGAGAAGGGGGCGGGGCCTTAGTCACGCCAGCGAGGAGTCCACCAATGGCACGTGAGGTGGGCGGGCCCGGCCATCCCCGGGCTCGGGTCGCTCCCCGCCGCAGCGGAAAGGGCAGACGCGGCCGGTCCTCTGCGGGGACTGTCATGGCTGTCCTGTCAGCCACGGACTTCCCTCTGAGGCCGAAAAGCTGGTCGTCGTGCCGCAGACAGTGCAAAGTGCAGGGTGCCAGACCTCTGAGTACATTTGTGAGCTCGAGTCATTCACGACTGCTTAGTGGACACACCGTGAATGACGGGGTCGGAGTGGAGACGGCGACAATGGCCGCTGCCGCGCGAGGCACTCTGCTGAGCGCCTTCTGGGATCGCTCACTGTACTCCTACCGCCTCTGAGCCACGGTCAGCTGTTCACTTTACTACCACTCGTTGTGAAGCCGGGACAGGAGCTGGGAAGGGAGAACAATTTCCGAGCGCGGGGTGCCATTGTCCCATGTCCCTCCCAGGGCCTCTCCTGCCATTGTAAGGGGGACACTGGCCCCCAGGGAGAAAACGAGGTGCTCCCACGGCAAAGCCGGACCCCCCAGCCTGGGACTCCAGCAGAGAGCCAGGAGAGGACATGGGGCCCCTCTGGCCTCCCACCTCCCACGTTTGGTAGGTGACCAGGAGCTCAGTGACTGACGACAGGTGGCTGAGCTGGCCTTGGAAGGCAGCAGTCCAGGCAAAGAGCCTTGGTGTCCCTTGTTGGGCTGCCACTCGCCCAAGTGTCGGAGCTGGGGCCTGTGGAGCTGAGCAGCTCGGCTCGGGGATGGGTCGGTGCCCGTCTCCAGGGCTGGAGTAGATCTGGGGTGAGTTGGGTCTGGCAGGAGTGCGTGGTCGTTTCAAAGCCAGGCTGCCTGGTGTTCTGGCCTCTCCCACACTCACCCACTTGTCACTCCTCCATGGACTTGTTGCCACGTGGTGTCATCTGTCATGTTAGCATTAGGTAGACAAGAGGAAGAAAACTATTGTAAGTAAACTTCTCAACTCCACAGGTGATCATTCTCTTAAGATCCAAGTAGCCCAGAGGCCGCGGGGGCTCTTACAGGATGCTTTGAAGTTTGTCACTCACCTGGAGCTTAATCTTTACTCAAGAGTAAACCACATCCTAAACAGCATCTCGACCTCGGGTTGGGAGTTTCACACAACTAAGACCCAGTCCCAAGAGCTGCACCCTAGACTCCTGATAGAACAGGAACTGAGAATTTCACACAGGTGGTCTGAAGACCAGGCCCAGGAGTCCATTCTGGGCCTAGTTGGACTTGGGGCTGAGAGTTCCTCAATAAGTATACCAGCTCCAAATGCTGATCCCGTAGTTCTCACCCTAGAGACGACCCAACCCCTTTCAGTCCATTGAGAGTATTCCTTTCCTAGTCAGCTTGACTATCCTTTTCACTATATATTTTGCATCTCGCCCACACCAGCGTTAAACTTTCCTGCAGTATTAGGGAGCAGCATGAGGCACTAGCCAGAACTTTCTTGCCTCTAAAGCTGTGAGCTAAATAAACCTGTTTTTCTTGGTAACTGATTCAGACTCGAGTATTTTGTTACAGCAATACAAAACAGACTAAAACGTAGACAAAAAACTAAGGTATGTGAAGAAGCACTTTTGCAAGGGCCTTCCTTTTAAACTTTCCATTTAAGATTCGTAATTACTCTTTGAAATACAATGCTTAAAACTCAAACTTGAATTCTAATCTTGTTTCCACTATTAGGTAATAAATATGGACAGGTTACATCATCTCTGATTCTCATTGGGAATAATGATGCATATGTTTTATGGGATTGAAATGCAAAGAATGCCAATAAGGGCTGGGGGAGTGACTGAAGTGGTGAAGTGCCTGCCTACCAAGCACAAGGGCCTGAATTCAAACCCCAGCACCAAGAAAACAGAGCAAAGCAAGCAAATAAAGCACTTGACGCACTGCTTGTCATAGAGGTAGAGGTTGGTTTTATTTCTATTGTTATTCTTACTGTTAAGATTCTTTTTTTTCTTTTTGGCAGTACTGTGGCTTGAACTTCAGCACCTCACACTTTTGAGGTGGGCACTATTCCACTTGAGCCACTCCACCAGCCCTTTTTTTGAAATAGGTGTTTTGGAGACAGGATCTCGTAACTATTTTCCAGGACTGGATTCAAATCATGCTCCTTCTGATCTCTGCCTCCCAAGTAGCTACATGAGCCACCAGCACTACTGTAAAGATAGTGCTGTAAGATATTTCTTATCTAGAAAAATACCTAGACTATTTGCCTACAGTATTTGTTTGGGCCCCACGTCCAAAAGGGTCTTTTATTATTTTAATCTCAGTTCCACATTTTTACGTAAACATACTTTTATTTACTTATTTATTTTTAATATAAACATCCTTCTTAGTCCCCAGGCCCATCCAGAAGTGGTGGACAACCTTTCTCTTCCTCTTTTACCTGCCCTTGTTACCCATCCCATGCAGAACCCTAGGTATTCTAGAATGATCCTGGGGTTGGGGAGAAGGATGTGGATGGGCTCTCTTTTGGATTGGAAGGGCAGGAAGCCCTCTCTGAGGTGGTGTTGGAGCTGGGAACCATGCATCTTGCTGGGGAAATGAGTGTTTGGTAAAGGTGTGGCTGGTACTGGAGTAGTTGGTTTGAGGAATAGAAGACATGGTATGTGTGGAGTAGGGAACAAGGGTCACCTGTCAGGAGACCAGGTTGGAGAGGTGACATCCAGAGCCTCAGGGACCACTGGAAGATCTTAAGATGTCATGCTCTGTGGTTTTAGAGATTATTCTGGCTGCTGTGTGGATTGGAGAGCTGCCATGACTTGAAAATGGAAAGGCCAGTCATCTCAAGACTGTCACCTTACCCTCCTGCAATCAGCCACCAAGTCTGGGGGACTCTGGGGACACTCCAGGAGTTATGCAGCGGTTGAGATGGGAGGAGGGGAAGTGTTCAGATCAAGAACTTCATAGGGGCGTGGTGGTGCATACCTGTAATCCCAGCTACCCAGGAGAAAGAAATTGGGAGGATTGTGGTTCAAAGATAGTCTAGGCAAAAAGTTATCAAGATTCATCTCAATCAATAAGCCAGGTGTGGTAGTGCCCACCTGCCATCTCAGCTACGTGGGAGACTGTAGGTAGGAGAATCATGGTCTGAGACTGACCCTGGGCAAAAACATGAGGTGCTATCTGAAAAATGACTAAAGCATGAAAGGGCTGGAAGTGTGGCTCAAATGGTAGAGTGCTTGCCTTGCACATGGGAGGCCCTGGGTTCAATCCCTAGTACCACAAAAAAAACAAAACAAACAAGCACCTCCCCCCCCCACTTTTGCCACACGCACAGCCCCAAACTTCTTTTAACAAAGTGCTTATTGAATTCCAATAATGCCCAGGCCCTGTTCTAGGGATTAGGGAAATGTCAATGAACAGGACAAAGCCCCTGCCCTCCTGGAGCTTTCCTTACAGGGAAGATACAGACAGTGACAAGCATAAGATGTAGAATACTGTTTTCCGTTGTGTAAATGCTATAAGGACAGGAAAGCAGGAAGATCAAGAGTGACTGGTGCCGTGTTGAGACAGAATGGTTGCTGAGATGAACTGGATGAGGGGAAGGAAGGCATGAAGAATAGTACATTTTAGGGCTTGGCCTTGACCTTTGGGCTAGATGGTGGTATCATTTCCTGAAAGCTTAGGAATAAGTCATTAGGAAATTTAGGGTTCTCCTTAGCCTGTTGGTCCTTCCTCATGTTGGGAATACAATCCATATTTTGTCATAGAAGTCAGGTTGGTCCCTTAGTTAACAATTTGCATCTCCCTAGCACCCAGTTGGGGGTGACACAACCGGGAATGAGTTCTATGTGATCAGTCTTTCTGGAATTTTCTGCATGCTGATCTTGCTTTCTGGCATTTCAACCTCAGCGTCCAGCCCCACCATCCTTCTGCCCCGTCTTCCTTTTCATAAAGGCCCTGTCTCAGCTGGTAATATCAGCCACCACCCATTCACCCAAGACTGAGAGTTAGGAGTCATTCTGGACTCCTCCTGCCCTCTCAGTGCACATCCAACCAGGCAGGGAGTCCTCTTGCTGGCATCTCCTTGCTCTAGTGCCTTGGCATCTCTCATTGATACTCTTCAAGACCCCCTCACCCCCTGCTTCTTGGCTGGCTTTTTCTGATACCTTAGTGCTAGAATTTTCTCAAAAGCAAACCGGATGGTCATTTCCAGGTCTCAGAACCGTGTCTCTTTCTGCCATGTTGTCAACAACATAGAATGCCAACCCCTTAGCTAGACTATGTGACCAGTCACAGTTGGCTTCTGTGGCTTTCTGGAGCTGCTGCTTTTTCCTCTGCTTACACTTCATTATATGACCCAGTAAGATAAGAACCACTTATAGCAAACTGAATGCATGCCGCTCACCACTTTTGCAGTGGAAGGTGTTCTTTTAGAGCTTCCATTAAACACTTATTCCTAATAAATACCCAACCTAGAAACTCCCTATTTCTAGCAAAATGTCCCCTCTTCTGTGGTCCCTGCACATAACTTTACCTTTCTAGTCACTGCATGATAATAAAATCACCTGTTCACTTGCCTGTCTCCTGCACCACTAACTCCATAGAGCATGGGGTTGTTTGTTTTGGCAGTACTGGGGCTTGAACTCAGGGCTTCATGCTTGCCAGGCAAGTGCTCTACCACTTGAGCCATACCTCCAGCTGAGTTTGGGGTTGGAATTCACTCTGCTTGATGATGGTCCTAAATCTAGCATGGGTTCTGGCCTGGAACAGGAACTCATGAATCATTAAAGTGAATGGGTTGGTACAAGTCCTTCAGATGCAACATGGAATCTTATCCTTGTAGAAACTTCTAGCAGCCAACAATTAATGACAACAA